TTTTTTCCCCTTTCCATTATTGTTAAAAAAAACTGCAACTTTCAGTTTTTCCTTTGGTTCCTCTTGAGAAAGGGTTTTGTTACCTGCTGCCTGATTAACTCCAGATATGTAACGCCACATTAAAGTTTGTGTTTTTATTAAATCCTTCTGATAATCGGATGCTTACCTGTATAATGTGCGCACGGGGGTGGGGGGCACAGATGACACACCACACCACACAGGTGACAGCGCGCAGGAAAGGAGGGGAGAACTTATTTATAGCTGCAGAGCGGGTTTGTTTGATGTTATTTAATGTTTTTTAATGTCCTACAGGCTCTGAAATGCAAACTAAAAACGAAACTGAGGTTTTGACGAAGGTCAGTAGCGTGATTTGAACGCAATCTTTTTAGTTCATTACACACCCGCCACCATGGCGGGTGTGTTGTTCAGATCTACACGCCACTTCATAATTTTACCCACATTTGGCCAGTGGCGGGTGCTAATTTCCACCCCTGGTTGTGTCGTATTTCCTTCACGATGACTGTCTTCACTGTGTTCCATAGTATGCACTGGAAAACCTTTTGTACTGTTCTGAAGGATATATTTTAACAYTGAGATCTCTCTGATGCTTTGGTCTGTGGACAATAGCTGTAAGATGCAAGAAAATGTCAGGAAAAGRCCATCAGAACAACTGACCTTTCTTTGGGGTTAATCAGAGGCACTTTAAATGGTGGGASGTGTGTACTGACACCAATTTAAAATGAGTTTAAATGTGATTAGTTAGTTCTGAACACCCACACCCCCAGTTATAAGAGTCTGTCTGATAGCTGTTGTGTGTTTTAGTACTTTAGTACTTTCCTCTGACTTCCTCTTGGACCCAGGCCTTCAGAGAGAGGATGGCGTAAAGCGAAGGACGGCTCGATGGTCCAGGCAAAGGTTCGTCTAAAGCAGGAGGTGGTGAGTGTCAACAGCCATCAGCAGCGAGGACAAAGAATCGCCGCTCCTGTTAAAAAACTGTTTGCTCGAGAGAAGAGGCCYTACGGGTTGGGCATGGTCGGTCGGTTGACGAACCGAACGTACCGCAAGCGCCTGGACAGCTTCGTCAAGAGGCAGATTGAGGATATGGATGATCACAGGTAGGATGTCAAATTCTATCTGTCAAACTGTCCGTCCGTCCGTCCGTCCATTTATTTATTTATTTATTTATTTATTTATTTATTTATTTATTTATTTATTTATTTATTGTCTGTAAATTAATTATAAAATTGTCCTGCTCTCGTCTCCAGGCCTTTTTTTACCTACTGGATCACATTTGTCCACCTGCTCATTACCATCCTGGCCGTCTCTATTTATGGTATTGCTCCCATAGGCTTTTCACAACACGAAACTGTAGACTCTGTAAGTTTACCCTTTTTTATTATTTAAAAGGGTGTTACAAAAGTATTCACCCCCATGGCAGCCTGCCTAATTTTTTTATCTTTAAATAAAGGGTTATTACTTTTCCAGTTTGGAATATTTTGTGTTGATCCATTACTTACAATCAAAAATAGAAAACATTTCTAAGGCAACAAAATGTAGGATTAAAGTGAATACTTTTGCAAAGCACTGTGTATTGTAGGTTGGTTTTATTTTGATTATTTTAAATTACGTACTGTACATATATATACATATATATATATATACATTAGTGTTATAAATTAATACTTTTTTCTCTTTAAGGTGTTGAGGAATAAGGGAGTTTATGAAAACGTTAGGTTTGTACAACAACAGAACTTCTGGGTGGGTCCAAGCTCTGTAAGTATTTACAACYCTCTGTCCACCATTCTCCATTTATAAACAACTTTTCTTATTATTTGCTGTTAAAAGTTGGGGAAGAGGCTCATTCTGTGACGCTTTTAAAAGAAAAAAATCATAAA